GGTTGGATTGAGGCACATACCTTGAGGTAAGGTTTTTCATTGAAAACATTTATCAGGCTCTATATGATTAATTGAAGGAACAGTAAAAGCAAAGCAAGGCCTATCAGCAGGATGTAATGGAATAGAAAAAAAAACAATCCTTAATTTCTATTATTACCAGATTTTAATTTTTGGGCAAAGCTGAAAGCATTGGGAGTCCTCGCTGCATAGGCCCAAAGAGGTGCATTTGTTTATTAACGGCTCTCAAATCATGTAGCAAGCGCCATCTTCCGGATTTCTTTTTAATAACAAAAATGGGTGTATTTCATGGAGAGGTGGATGGTTCTATGTGTCCCAGAGCCAACTGTTCATTAATTAGCTGATTTACTGCTTTTAGTTTTTTAGAGGTAAGTGACCATTGGGGAACCCATACGGGGGTCTCTGTTTTCCATGGTATGGGCCGTGCTGCCCCGGTGGCGCCTAGGAAAAACCCAGGCCCTGTTTGTTGATATTAGGTTTAGGATTTATTGGCTCCCGTATTCCCTGTTGGGAGCGACCCAAGCCCTTTTTTGGCCTATGACCCATTTTGATCATTATATCTTGGGCCTGAGATGAATATGTATTAGATAATGTCAATCCCATGCCCTGTATCACGTCTCTTCCCCATAAGTTGACCGGCAGGGGGAGGACATATGGTGTAAAATATCCTGACTGTTCTTTATCTGTTTTCCAGGTTAATCTGGTGGAGCTAATGGTGGGGTTTGTACTGTAGCCCAAGCCCTGTAGGGCATGAGACGACTCAGTAACAGGCCAGGACCGTGGCCACCAGCGTGATGAGATAATACTTTTGTTTGCGCCGGTGTCCAAAATGCCTTTGAAGCATTTACCATTGACCCAAAGGGGCAGTTTGGGTCAATCTTGAAGGCTAACAACCAAGTAGGCTGAATCCTGTCCTGTTGACCCCATTAATTTATTCTCCGGCCTCTGGTGGATGTTTGCCGGGAGAAGTAGTAACTGAGCTATCCTGTCTCCTTTACTGATGGAAAAAACTCCATTAGGGCAAGAGCATAGGGCTTGTATCTCAGCAGTGTGCTGACTATCAACGAGACCTGGGTGGACGATTAATCCCTGTAGGTTAAGCGAGCCATGTCCTAAAAGCAGGCCCATGCTTCCAGGGGGTAGGGGCTCAGGCAGCTGCATAGGGACGGGTTGTACCCCGATTTGAGGCATCAATAAGAAGTCAGTGGAGGCATACAAGTCCATTTTTGTTCTGTCTCTGAGGGTCCCTCGGTCGTTGCCCTGACGAACTTGTTTCCATATTTTTGGGGGCCCTGGGACCGAGGGCCCATCATCCCGTTTTTTGGATCATCAGTCTGTGGGTTTTCTAATGGTGGGAGGATCTTACCATGGGCGTCCCTAATGGAGCGGCAGAGCTCAGCCCTATGATAACCTTTACCACAGCGTGAGCAAAGTGTAGGGGGCGCTCTCTCCTTTTTTGATGACTTACAGTCCCTTTTTAAGTGTCCTGGCTTTCCGCATTTAAAGCAAACTCTTGTGTCTGGCCCTTTAAAAGGGCGTTTTTGTGACCGCATGATGGCTGTAGCCAAACCTGCATTCGTCAGGGGTCCTCCTAGTTCTCTACAGACCCTGAGCCAGTCCTGTAGCCCTTTATTTTTCCTAGGGGCTATGGCGGCACGGCATTCCTGCTTGGCTTGTTCAACGATGAGCTGCTCAATGAGGGGCGTGGCCATATCAGTATCGCCAAAAATGCTGCCTCAGTCATTTTTGTCACGAAATCTGAAAAAGGCTCCTGCGTCCCTTGTATAATCTTGGTGAGCGGAGTGCTCCCTTCTCCCTTTTTTGACAAGGCTTTCCATGCTCTTACAGCTGTATCAGCTATCTGGAGGTAGGCGCCGTAAGGGTAGTTTGTCTGGGCAGCGGCGTAGTGCCCTCGCCCAGTCAGGAGGTCAAATGTCCATTGTTGTTGTTTTGGAGTTAAGACCTGAGCGTTAGCTCTGGCCTGTTCCTGGGCCGCCTCGTGCCATAGCGCTTTCCATTTCAAATATTGACCCATGCTGATGAGCGACGCTTTTGCAACTGCTTCCCAGTCCGCAGGAGTCATGGCAGACGAGGCCAATCTGTCCAACTGGGCTAAGGTAAAATTAGCAGTCATTTCATATTTTTTGACTGATTCTGCTAACTCTTTGATTTGGTTGTACTCCACAGGCGCATGTATTCGCCCGTTTTCCGCTTCATAAACGGGGAAGGCCAAGTGTAGCTTTCTCTTGACCTTGTCAGGGATAAATGAAAAGGTCTTTGGCCCAAGGCGTTCCTCATAAGGAGGCGCCGAAGGGGCAATTGGGGGAGGGCATAGCCTATAAGGAGGCGGATGGGCCGTTTGGGATGACCTCATGGCCCTGCCGCTGGCTAATTCTACCTCCTCCTCTGTATCCAGTTTTCCTATCTCTTCTCCTGAGCCAGAACTTTTGTGCTCACTTTCATGGTCACTTTTAAGGTCATTTTCAATTTGCAGAGTTTCGAGCCCCTGCAGAGGATATAAACTACTGTTCTTTCCTTTTTTTTTATTATTGATATCAGAAAGCTTTTGGCCTTGCGGGCCAATGTTCTCCCCCATTTTTACTTTCTTAGAATCATTGGGGGGTCCTCTTTTCTTAATTTCTTTCCTCACGCGCGCGTCTAACCTCCCATTGCATTCAGTTTCTGATATTCTGTCCTGGATTTCCTCCGCCTTTGCAACAACCGCTTGGCAAGATTCATCTTTTAAGCAATTTTTGGTAGAAAATAAGAGAATTGCTAAGATAAGTATCAAGGCCTGTATGAAACCTTTCCAATGCGGAAACAAGTCAAGCTCAAAACCGAAAAATCCAGGAGAAGACATTACCTCTCTGATTATGTAGACCCACAGTTCTGAATCCTTCCTGAATCCAAGGTGAATTCAAGAGATCCCCGTAGGTGTGGTGGTCAGGATTCCTCGGCGTCCCGAGGGATTCGGCACCAGATGTCCCACGCCCAGTCTCGCCAGCAAGAACCACGCGGAACACTAGGATCCTTCTGCAGAAATAGCTTTAATACTTCTTGGGAGAGAGAGTATCAGCCAACATGGCCGGGGACCCCGATATGAAGAAAGCCATCCCTTATATATGAAACAGACCCTGCTTTGGACGTGTCACTCTTGGATTGGTCCACTGCTCCCAGTCCTAGGTGATGCCTCGGGAATAGTGAAAAGTTACCAAGCACATGTGCATTCACCTGGCGGTGAAGCCGGATGTCAGTGCCATCTTGATGATGGAGAATGTGGCTGTGGCCCTCTACATGTGCCCAAGGGCGCCCACACATACAAACATGCTCATTGGCTAACCTAGCCTACTTCATGAGTTACAGGCTACAGTGTTTAAGGAATGTCCAAGGTGGTTCTCTGGCCGCGCACACATACAAAATGACATCATGCATCATGTTATTCTGTGTTTTATTTATGTGAGGATTATATTATCTTAGAAAATACAGACTCTCGCAAGGCAGTGGTGATGTACACCTTTAATCTCAGCTGTAGGGAAGCAGAGACAGGCAAATCTCTGGGAGTTTGAGGCCAGCCTGGTCTACAGAGCGAGTTCCAGAATAGCCAGGGCTACACAGAGAAACCCTGTCTCAAAAAGCAAAATATGACAACAACAACAACAACAAAATAGCTCTAGCTGGGCGGTGATGACGCACGCCTTTAATCCCAGCACTTGGGAGGCAGAGGCAGACGGATCTCTGTGAGTGAGAGGCCAGTGTGGTCTACAGGAGGTAGTTCCAGGACAGGCTCCAAAAGCTACAGAGAAACCTGTCTTGGGGGAAAAAAAATAGCTCTCAATTGTTTTTTAGATACTTTTTACTATCTTAAAATTCTGGTTTTAAAATTTGATGTACAGTTGTTCTAGGGGTGTGGCTCAGTGATGGTATGCATGATTAGATGTATGAAGCATGTCTTGGTCACCTTCATTGCTGTGAAGAGACACCATAACCAAGGCAACTTATAAAAGAAAGCATTGATTGGGAAGCTTGCTTACAGTTTCAGAGGGTGATTCTGACCAGGCAGGGAGCATGTTGGTAGACAGGCAGGCATGGAACTGGACCAGTAGCTGAGAGCTCACATCTGATCCACAAGCAGGAGGCAGAGAGATACTGGGCCTGGTTAGTACTTTTGAAACCTTAAAGCCTCCCCCACACACACACACTCCAACAAGGCCACACCCCTTAACCCTTTCGCCAGCTAGGAACCAAGCACTCAAAAATATATGAGCTTATGGGGGTTTTCATCCGAACCACCACAAGGTACTACATACAATCACCAATACCCTACAAAAGATAAAGTGTACAGGTCACATTTGTTAAAAGATGTGTGTGTGTGTGTGTGTGTGTGTGTGAGATACATATGCATATATGTATTTGCAGAATATATGGGTGCAGGTGCATGTGTGTTTATGGAGTCTAGGTTGACACTAGGTGTCTTCCCCACCCCCACCCCCAAATTTCAGGACTTAACCTAATCTCTTAATTTGAGTTAATCATTTCTCTGGTGGACATATGTTTACAGATTTTTACTATCACAGACACCTGAGTGATAACATATATTATTACCACGCCAGGCAGTCTTATAAGCACTTTTTTAAAAAAAGAGAACTCTGAATTTACACAGCCACCCCTAGAAGTAGTTCACTAGTTTCAATTCAGGTAATGGAACCAAGTAGAGAAACTAAGTCGGGTTTTTTGAATACTTAAGCATAACTAGGGACAATACAGACGGGCTCTGGAGAAGAAATGAGAGGCTTATTACAGCAAGAGAAGGATCTGATCTTTGTTTTTAAACCAGAGTATTATTTAAGCCTAGGAAAGTGTTTGACAACCGCAAAGCCTTCGGTTATAACAGGTGTGGGCGCAGAGAATTAGCACATGATCTTTTTAACAAGGTAAGGAAGCTGGTCCAGCACGTCGCTTAGAAACGTCTGAGATAGGAAATGAACAAAGCAATCTTGCCACCAGCGCTCTGCAAGCATTCCCTCCTGCCGCGCCTTTGCTCCGGCACTCCCAATGGCCCAAGCTGCCTTCTGGGTTTCTAATTGTTGAAAGCCTGCATTCCCAGATCTGCTTTTCCCCGGGAACCTCACCTGGGGCGCATTTTCTCTTACGGGATTTCCTAAAGTCCCAAAGCTGGGACCAGTTAAGTTTGCGTGTATTAACGCTCACCGTGTCCTACCTAGGTGGCTCTAAATCTCGGGCTTTTATTTGTCCATCCGGCTTTGGAGCTGAAGTTGGAGGAGGGCAGCTAACATCCGGTTGCACGGAGGCACGGACACGGGGCTCAGGAGGAGTGGCGCGCCGCTGGCCCACCTGGACCTGGCGAGCCTTCCCGGTTCCTGGCGGTGGTCGTGCAGTCACGGGGCCTGAGGACGCGCGGCGGTGCGGGGTGAGCCACGGTAGGGGCTTGGGACGGGTGCGCAGAGGCCCCTTGTCAGGCCAGCGCCCTGGGAACCTGCGGTGGGGAGAGTCGGGAGCCCGGCTGCTCAGAGTAGTGGAAACTGCAGTTGGTGGTCAGAGTAGCAAACTGGTTCCTTTTCCAGTACAGCCAGCCATTAATGACCTCGTCTGGCACTGGGGAATACCGATCTCAAAAACCCCGTTCACTGTTTCTTCCTGCTATTATTTATTAATTTTGAGCCATAGAGCTGCAACGCATCGAATGCTATGCAATATCCTGGTTTCGATCCTGAAACCGAAAGGAACGAACAAAAATCCTCGAGAAAAATAGGAAATCCACGGAAGTCTGTGGTTTAGTCAGTAACTGCACCAGTGGCAGTTTTGATTAATGTACCGAAATGCTAACTTTGAAGGAATTTGAGTGGAAGGTATATAGGTCTAAGTCTTTGCAACTTAAAAATCTAAAATCTTTCTAAGGTTAAAAGTTAGCATATAAAGCCCCACAGCAAGGTGAAGCGGGCCGAGGCTCGCTAATGAGGGCGAAGTTAGTTTTCTCCCCAGCAGGACAGGAAGTAGTAGGTAGTATCTGTTTGATCAACTTGTTTGCTAAAGCAGTTGTCGGGCTAGTGGGGGTAGATCCTGCTGGCCTGCTTTCCCCCTTGGAATTTGTCCTCTCTCAAGTCTCTTCAACAAATATCTTTTAGCATTTGTTAGGTGTGAGCAAATGAGACACATTCCTTAAACTACTGGGAGTCGTGAATGTCTTAGGGTCAGACAGGGACATCATTGGATCTGTTTTAAAAGTATGGACTCGGCAGCGATGTATGTGTAGGTGGCTTTGTCCATTTAGCCCAGAAGTAATCAGAAATACAACCAGGAAATTAAAGTGGAAAAGATAGGATTGGGGAAGATTTTTGTGAGTCTTGAAGACTTAACAATTGAAGGCATTCGAAGATCAAAGAAAAAAAGGGGGAAAAATGTATTCCAAAGTTTTTCACTTGAGGGTTTTAGAACATGGTTGACACATTTTGGAACAAAGAGAACTCCATAAGAGACCTGGGTTCAGGGTGTGGGAAGAGAATGAACTTGCTTTGAGCTGTATTTGAACAAGCCAAGTACTGAGCTGGAGATAATGAGTTTAAGAGCAGTAAAAGCAAGGGCAAACTATATATACAGAAGGAACCAGAGGAATAAAAAGAGCCACGGAAGGCAGCTCTGTGACCCTCTTGACAAAAGAGAGCTGTTTATTTATTTATTTATTTATTATGTATACAATATATTATTGTATTATATATGTATAATACTATATATACGTGTTATGTATACAACATTCCTTCCATGTATGCTTGCATACCAGAAGAGGGCACCAAATCTCATTATAGATGGCTGTGAGCCACCATGTGGTTGCTGGGAATTGAACTCAGGACCTCTGGAAGAGCAGTCTGTCCTCTTAACCTCTGAGCCATCTCTCCAGCTCCTGAGCTGCTTTCTTGTTTAGTTGAGAAATCCAGGTATCCCAGACACCTGATGTGAAGTTAAAGATTCATATCTCCTACAGACTTGGAGAGAGAGGCTCAGGAGTGAAGCTGGGTCTTGGAGTTAGTGCTAGCAGTTCGCTGTTTTTCAGAGTTATTTTAGTGAAAAACAGGAAGATTGCCAGCAGTCTGTTCATGCAGTGTCCTTTCTACAGTGTCCAGAGGACTGGACAGGGAGCCAGATAGGATTTCTGGTTCTGGCTATACTCATTGCCTACCTGTGTTATTTGGTCAAGTCATGTATGCTTGGAAAAGGAAAACGTTTCTCAGTGAAAACAAACGAACCCTTTTATTTCTAGAAATACGAGTAGGGTGGAGAAGTACCCTTTGCAAAATGCTGATACAGAAATAGAAGTGTAATACTCCAAAGAAAAAAATTCAAAGCCAGTGCTCGGAAGGCAGAGGCAGGTCAATCTCTGTGAGTTAAAGGCCAGCCTGGTCTACAGAGTGAGTTCCAGAAGAACCAAGACTATACAGGGAAACCCTGTCTTGTAAAAACAAAAATTTATATGTAATCTCACTCAATAAGTAGGTATACTGGTGCACAAATCCTTCCTTTTGGGGTGGGGGGATGCGGTCTTAATGTATTGTCCAGTTCGGTCTCAAATGCATGCATTTAAGAAATCTTTCTTCCTCAGTCTCTCGAATACCAGGTTGAACACCACCAAGCTGGCTTACTACTCAAATTCAGATTATTTATTTGACTAGTGTAGCTGATCTCAGATATACCCAATGGTGCTCCAAATACCCCTGTCCAGTTGCTCTACTTAAACTCATTTTGGAGCCAATGACTCAGTCAGGATCCAAGATCAGCAGCTAAGAATTTGCGCTCAGACTCCCACGGCAGCACTTTCCCTATTCCACACCCTGCTGTCGCCCCAGTTGATATCAAACATATTAAACTCAACAGAAGGCTTGTAATTCTGTAGATGGCTTTTTCTTTGGGCCACCAGGTTACAAAAAAACAACACAGAGACTTATTATTAATTATGAAAGCTTGGCCTATAGCTTAGGCTTGTTCCACTAGCTTTTTTTTTTTTTTTTTTTTTTTTGGTTTTTCGAGACAGGGTTTCTCTGTAGCTTTGGAGCCTGTCCTGGATCTAGCTCTTTCTCATACTCACAGAGACTTACCTGCCTCTGCCTCCCGAGTTCCCGAGTGCTGGGATTAAGAGTGTGTGCCACCCCCACTTAGCTCCAACTAGGTCTTATAACTTAAATTAACCCATTCATATTAGTCTGCATTTTGCCTTGTTGCTTCTTACCTCTCCTTCATCTTGCACCTCCTGTTTACTCTCCATGTCCTCTGGCATCTCTCCTGGGCCTACATTCATCTCCCCTTCTTTTTTTCTCTGTCTGGAAATCCCGTCTCCCTCTTCCTGCCTAGCTATTGGCCATTCAGCTTCTTATTAAACCAATCAGAAGGCGCTTTGGCAAAGGCACATCTTCACAGTGTGCAAAAAGTTTATCCCACAACATAATTCTAAGAAGTAATGTGTCCCCAAAGTAAAGTTTGATTTTTTTTTTTTCTATCATATTTGAATACTACACAGCCAGTGCCCATCAAAATTACAATTAGAAAAAAAAAAGCATTAGAGGGCTGGAGAGATGGCTCAGAGGTTAAGAACACTGACTGCTCTTCCAAAGGTCCTGAGTTCAATTCCCAGAAACCAACCACATAGTGACTCACAACCATCTGTAATGAGATCTGGCACCCTCTTCTGGCCTGCAGGCATACATGCAGACAGAATATTGTACGCATAATAAATAAATAAATCTAAAAGAAAAAAACATTTCTTTTTGTGCCAAAGCCAGGAGGTGTTGGCACACACCTTTAGTCTCAGAACTCAGAAGGTAGAGGTGGAACAGACACATCTCTGAGTTCAAGACAGCTTGGTCTACAGAGTGAATTTCAGGATGACCAGGGGCTAAACTGAGAAACCCTGTCTTGGGCAAGGGCATTAGAGAGGGATATAGTGTAGTGGCAAAGCCTTTACCCTTCATGCACCAGGCTTTGGGTTCAGTTCCCCTCATCAAAACAAAACAAAACCCCCACCAAAGTGATAGCGTAGATAGGAAAACTCATTATATTTAGCAAGACAATTCACTCCGTACGAATGCATGTGGGGCATTAGCAGATGTTCTCCAGCTGGTGCTGCTCCCCTGTAATCCCAAACTCAGAAGGCAGAGCTAAGGTCACCTGAGCTACAGAGGAAGAGCCTGCCTTAAAAAGAAAAGAATCTTGCCTGGCATGGCCATGGATGATTGCAATTCCAGCATTCAAGAGACAGGTAAGATCCCAAGTTCAAGGTCAGCCTGGGCTGCGCAGAAATCTAGAACACGTCTCAGAAAACAAAAATCACAGCAAGTCCTTAAACTGGATGTGTTGATACACACCTGATGTGTTGTGCGTATTGGCTGTGCTGATGCACACTTGGTGTTGTTGCACACTTGGTGTATTGTGCACATTGGATGTGTTGATGCATACTTGGTGTGTTGTGCACACTTGGTGTGTTGATGCACACTTGGTGTGTTGTGCACACTTGGTGTTGATACAGCACTCAAGAAGTAGATTCAGGATGATTGCAAGTTTGAAATCAGTCTGTACCACACAACAAATTTGAAATCAGCCTAGACGATATTAACAGGATCTTATCTCAGCAAACAAAACACCTTGTCTCACTCTGTATCCACGATTTACTCTCAGAGACTTCCTTTCCCCTTGTGTTGACCGGTTCTGTCTTCTTTGTTACTATTCACCTAGACCTGACCACACTGTGGTGTGTGGTGGTGGGGGGTCTGGAGATTGAAGTCAAGGCTTCATATATTCTAGGCAAGTTTTCTATCAGTGGTTTTAATAGTGAAAAATAAAATAGCAGTCTCACCAGATGGTGGTAGCTCATGCCTTTAATCCCAGCACTCGAGAGGCAGAGGCTGAGTTCAAGGCCAGCCTGGTCTACAGAGCGACTTCCAGGACAGGCTCCAAAGCTACACAGAGAAACGTCTCGAAACTTCCCCCGCCAAGAAAGCCATCTCAGCAAAAAGTCAAGACTGGTTCAGTGTCTTTGACAGTCCCAGTAAGCATCTGCTTAAACAGCGGGATATTTCTATTCCCAGTCTCATCTGAGGTTTATTACTGGGATTATTTTATTGCTATTACTATCATCATTAGATTTCCTTCTCATTGAATTGAAACTTGACACTGAATTCTTTAACTCATAGTTGTGTTTAAAGTGAAACATTTCTACACAGTTGCAGCAGAACTGCCGTTTTGAAATGCCCGGTGTTGAAAGCCGGAGTTCACCGCACTCCGTCCTGAAGGAAGGAGGCTGAGTGTTTGCTGCACTTGCTGGCTGAGCGTGACCAAGTACGTGACCCCAGGGGCGGGGGCGGAGGGGACTTTTCGGTGGTGCGTCCTCTGAGATGCTGTTCCTAGAAGACATTTTTTTTTTCTGGAAAAGAAAGCAAGTTTTGCCGGGCGGTGGTGGCGCACACCTTTAATCCCAGCACTCGGGAGGCAGAGGCAGGTGGATCTCTGTGAGTTCGAGGCCAGCCTGGTCTACAGAGTGAGTCCCAGGACAGGCTCCAAAGCTACACAGAAAAGACCTGTCTCAAAAAATTTTTTTTAAAAAAAAAAAAAGGCGGGGGCGGGGGGAACAAGTCTTGTGGCGCCCAGTGTGTAGCCTTGTAGCCTTGACAACACGACAGTTGTACATCCTTGTCCTAGAAGAGACAGGTATTGTATTTGCTCGTTCTCTCCTTTTTTATTTGTTTAGTAAGCAAGTCTTTATTGAGCCGCGTTTATGTTTCAGAAACTGAATTAGGCTCTAGAGTACCGGGGTCACGCAGACAAGGCTTGCTACCTGTTGGCGTGTCCCGTCTGTGTGAGGATGTTTGGAGCAGGTCTGGGCCGTGGCCGAGGAGAATGTGCAGGCAGCTGAGCCAGCCTAGCACAGAAACACAGTGAGTCGCCTCCTGCCTCGCTCAATGCCCCACCTTATCAAATGGGTTGGTGGATAATTTGAGAAATAAGCAAAACATGGGGAATATGTTACACAGTTCTCTGTGCTAGGGAAAGAAGGGAGGGAGGGAGATGGAAACAGGAAGAGACACTGGGCACGGTGGCCCATGCCTTTCACCTCAGAGTTCAAGAGGCGCAGGCAGGAAGATCTCTGTGGGTTCTGTCCCACATCTGACTGCCTTATGTTATTTTGATTTGGTTTTTGCTTTTTTTTTCTTTTAGGATTTTCAAGACAGGGTTTCTCTCTGTAGCCTTGGCTATCCTAAACTAGCTCCGTAGACCAGGCTGATCTCTGCCTCTACATGCTGGGATTAAAGGCGTGTACTACCACTACCTGGCTATTTTTTATTATTTTAAGACTAGCTGGTCTGTGTAGCCCAGGCTAATCATAAACTGGCTTCTTTCTTCCTCTGCCTTCTGTGTGCTAAAGTTACCAGTCTGTGCTACCGCAGGCAGAGGAGTTGGCAATTCTATTTATTTTATTTTATTTTATTTTATTTTATTTTATTTTGCAGTGCTGGGGATGGAGCCTAGGGCCTCATACGTGCCAGGCAAATGCTCTGCCGGAGCGCAGTGCCTCCTGCCTTCAGCCTTGCCACTTGCGATTCAGATAGTGTGCCAAGAAAGGTCACTGAGAAGGTGACAGATACTGAAGTTATCACCCAAAGAGGCTGAGGAGCCAGTTGTGCGGCCATCTAGGGGAGGAATAGTCCAAGCAGCACAGAGCGCTGGGGTGAAGAATACAGTCCACACCAGAGCAGCCGAGAGCCTGGGCTGGCCGGCGTGGGCATGAGGAGAGGCGGACAGAATGTGGGCCCTCTGGCCATTGCATAGGCTTTGGGCTTTACTTGAGTTACACAATAGTGGGAGAATTTGAACACAAATGTGACAGTGTAATTTGAGGAAAGAGAGGGAGGAAACTCAGAGGGACACCTTCCCCTGGCTGTTTTCCATCCCCGAACCAATAGAGCCCACAGTTCCCTTAGCCCTTGAAGTAAGGGGCGGAGCAGGGACCAAAGCAGGAGGCGGAGTCCTGGAGCAGTGTTTGTGGTGGGAAGTCATTTCACACTTGTCTGAATCCGGCGCCACTCCCAGACTTGTAGAAACAGAGCCATTCCTTTGTAAGTTTGCCTGTTACAGCCTTCTGTCCCCTCAGTGACTGGTCTGCTCTACCCTGATCAGTAGGGGACCGCATTCATGCCTCAGCCGCCGCTGACTTCCCCACAATTCATGTTGGTCTTTGAAGTCAGAGCTGGGACCCTTTCCTGTGGAAAAAGACCTGAGGTGTTAAACACTTCTAACGAGGGATGCAAAGGGCACTTGTGTGTTAGGGTTTGTCTTCTTTCAATTTTAAACTTTATTTGTATTTGTGTGTGTGTGTGTACCTGTTTGTCTGTATGTACACCAGATGTGTTCAGGTACCCTTGGAGGCCACAAGAGGGCAGAGCATCCTTGCAGCTACAGATACAGGCAGTTGGCTGCTTGATGCAGGTGCTGGGAATCAAACTCTGATCCTCTGTAAAAACATCAAGTACTCCTAACTGCTGAACCATCTCCTCAGCCCCTGTCTTTCTTCTTTTGTTGTTGTTGATTTGGGATAGGATTTCTCTGAGTAGCCCTGGCTGTCCTGGAACTCACTCTGTAGACCAGCCTGGCCTCAAACTCAGAGATCCAACCGCCTCTGCCTCTGGGATTAAAGGTGTGTGTCACCACTGCCCAGCTCCATCTTTTTTCTTTTTCTTTCTTTCTTGCTCTCTCTCTGTCTCTCTCTCTGTCTCTCTCTCTCTCTCTCATGCTTATTTATTTATTATGTATACAGTGTTCTGCCTGTAAGCCAGAAGAGGGCACCAGATCTCATTATAGATGGTTGTGAGCTGCCATGTGGTTACTGGGAATTGAAGTCAGGTCCTCTGGAAGAGCAGCAGTGTTCTTAACCTCTGAGCCATCTCTCCTTCACCTCTGAGCCATCTCTCCAGCCCGCACATTCCCCCCCTCCTTTTAACACTGAATAATACTCCTCTCTGTGAATGCACACACATTTTCTCTATTCATAGCTTGGCAGCTGTAAGTTAGAGACAATGAGCATGGATGTGTAGACATCTTTTTGACATAAAAGCTTTCATGTCTTGACGGGGGAAGCAGAAGAGGAATCGTGGCATCTGCTGACTGGTTTTTAATCACTGCTTCCCCTTACTACAGGCAGCCTGTCTTCCCTTATGATAAAAGCCGCATTTGGCTAATGAGCAAAGTGACGAGGTCACCGAGTGAGACTGAGGCTAACTGGAAAACGGAGGAGGAGGATGACATGACAGAAGGTGACCTAGGGTATGGCCTCGGAGGAAGACCTGGCAGGATTTATGAAGTTTCGTGTTCGAGTACATCTAAGAAAAGGTCAGATGGAAGGAACCTGAGCCCCCCTCCGTTTCCAAGAAAGGGGGAAGAAAGAAGCGAAACCATTTTTCAGTATTCCGGGACTGAGGGCTTGTGGGATACATGTCCTCACGGATGCAGAGCGACCGGCTACGGACTGCAGGATACATGCGCTCACGGACGCAGAGTGTCCGGCTACAGGCGGCAGAGCAGCGCTGGTGAGAACTCCTCCCCTGGTGATTATCAGTGCTCTCACTCTCCTGGCACGCGAAAATCAGTAACTCCAGGAGATTTTCATCTCTATCTCTTTAAGACTATTTAGATTAAATTTACTTATTTATGGGGGTGGGGTGAGCACGTGTCAAGGTATGCCCCAACTTGAAGCCAGTTCTTTCCTTCCGCCATGCGGGTCCCAGGGACCCAACTCACGTCATCAGGCCTGGTAGCAGGTGCCTTTTCTTGCTGAGTCACCTCACTGGACCACGTCTTACTCTCTTAAAGGAATATAGGGAGTTCAGAGGTAGCTGAGGTTTTGTTTCTGAGTATGGTAGGATGCCGGGGACCAGCCTCATTAGAGAAGTGGGTCTCGAATCTGGGATGTCTGGAAGGCTAAGTGAGTAGGCCAACACAGGATTCTAATGCAAGCTGACAGGCTTTCAGCTGCAAGGCGGGTTCTTCTAATTCTCTCTCTCGCTCTCTCTTATTTCTTTCCCTTTCTCTGTCTCTCTCTGCCTTGAGCTTCAAACCTCAGTCTTTTATTGTGAATTTTACACAAAGAACTTGATTCTTTTTTCTTGTCCCAGGTTAATCATTTCAGGAACAAAGCAGTTCACGAAAAATACAAAGATTCTTTGAAATCAGAACATCATCATTCATTATGACATTTTCCCAGTTCCCAAGCCCCATGCCAGCCACTATATTCTTAATTCTTGTCTGAGTTAATCATAAAACAACTTCTGAGGCTTTCACCTCAGAGGCTAACTACCTGCAGTTTACAGAAGCCTAGTTTAGCGGGTTTTACTCCATTGTTGTACCTTTCCCATTGTCCTCACAATTCCCATTTTGCTTTATAAGGCCAAAGGCAGTCAGCCCCAAAGCCCTAGGTTCTTCAGAAACTTTATTCATCATAGCCTGTTCCTTTCTGTTTCAGTATAATTCTTTTACCAAGTATCATAATCAGGTGAGAACAATTACTTCATTTTCCCCAAATTTCCCCGTGGGAGATTCTCACTTAAGTCTCAGGATAACACGAGCCCCCAGGAACTCATGAGAGACTGTCCTTGCTGCAATCACATGAGGTTTATTGACAGGAACCAGCTGGGGCCTAAACTCATTTCCCACACAGGGGTAGAGGAGTTTGATCCCGAGTAGCTGGGAGAGGGGGTATTTAGGGGAAGAAACCACAACCCAAAAGGGGTAGGGAGGGCGTCATTGGAAAATTCCGAAAATACCAGTGATCATTACAAGGGGGTAACTCCCCATTTCTCAAGATTATAATCTAACTTTATGGTCAGCTAGTTCCTGGAACAGAGTCACTGAACCAGCTAACCTAGATTTCTGGTTCTTCTCTTAGAACCTGCTAGATTTTTGGCTCTATTTTTCCTGCTGGATTTTTTTTAGCTCTATTCTTTCTGCTAGAGGGGTCTGGATTTATCCAGGTCTTTCTTCAGTGCCTGCTCACTCTATCAGATCAGTAAGATTCGTATTAACGTACAGCACATCCATATTTTCAGAAGCCACTGGTGTGGAAGGTAAAAAGAACATGAAGAACGAGTGCACTAGCAGAATTGTTACAACCAGAATCATCTGTAACATTGCCAAATGCACGTGCAGACGCCATAGAAGTGGTCCTCGAGGCACACAGGTGTTTTCCCCTTGGCCCACGAGTAACATCATTTATTGCCACTGGGTTGCCTGGAGGGAATTGCTTCCTGCCTCTCAGGAACCACAGTGGAGGGGAGCTATGCTTTGCCAGTCCAACAGTAGCTAATCTGCTTTGATATCTTACATGTGTGACTCTGGTAGCTACTTAATGTCTTTTCCTTTTGTTATGCAGTCTTATACCCCGTCCCCTAGGTGCCAGGTACTCGGGTCTAGGTTCTGGGAATACTTTGTGTTCTGAGTTACTCAGGTCAGTCGAAGAGGGAGACTCTGAAGGATCCCATAAGCTTTAGCAAAAGCAGCAGGGAAATCAGGAGGGAAAAGGACCAACCAACGAAACACACTCTGGCCCTGGAATCACAGTCAGTGAAAGAAATAAGCCCTGACTCTGAAATTAGAGCCAAATGGCTAAAAAGTGCCAGTGAAAGAAACACACTTTGGCTCTGAAACCAGAGCCAAATCTGCCCCTCACTGACTAAGCAGAAAGCCAACCAACCCCTGAGCATGAAACCTAGTCAAACCTGAGAGCTCAAGGGGCTGAAATCTGACCAATTCCCACCCAGAAAATCTCCCTGGAAAACGCCGTCCCTAAGAAGCACCTGTTCAGTTTGCAGCTGCCCTTCTTCTACCCTGGCAGAGGTAGCCACTCTCCTGGATTCTTCCCTCCTGATAAATTTCTTAAATGAGGTTTGGGTGAAATGTTCCTTTGCCGGAATGGAAAAGAGGAGAAAAGTAACTTTTCGGTGGAGCCAGAGCAGAGCAAGGCTATAACAACGTCACTGGGGAAACCTAGTAGAACGGAACTGTTTTGTTTTGTTTTTTTAAGGATTTATTCATTTATTATGTGTTACGCACAGATCGTGGGGTCCCCCAAAAAACCACCTCAGAGGCTTGGGCTCTCCGACTGTCCCGCGTAGCGGTTGATAGCAGAGAACCCCAAGGCCAGTCAGGGTAGGGTTTTTTGTTTCTTTTTTTAAATCATAGTAGAGATTGAGGTGAGGGGATTTTCAGGACCTTGACTGGCTGATGTTTGTCTGGGGATCTTTGCTAAAGGTGAATAGGTGAGTCCTGAGCTCAGGGACTTCCCGTGGTATTCTCTAATCTTATCTAATGGTTAGAATGTCAGGTACTTCCTTTTAAACGTTGACCCTCCGTGGGTGGTGTCAATTTACAACTTTTTCTGGAACCCTGTGCTGCCTGCAGTGGCAGGCTGTGCATCCCGGGCCTCCTGTGTGGCTAGGTTGCCCTGGGCCCATTTTGTATACAGTATTCTGGTCTGCATTATGCCTGCAGGCCAGAAGAGGGCGCCAGACCTCATTATAGATGGTTGTGAGCCACCATGTGTTTGATGGGAATTAAACTCAGGACCTCTGGAAGTACAGCCAGTGTTCTTAACTGCTGAGCCATCTCTCCAGCCCAAACGGCCAAGTCGCACTACTCCAGGGGAGCAGAGCCGAACTGTAACAATCTCACTGGGGAAGCTCTCTCCTGCCAGAGCAGAGCTGTTATATTGGAGAAATCTTTCCCTAGAGCAGGGCTGTAAGCTGTTACGCTTCTGTGGTACTCCTTGACTCCCCACTGCTAGGATCCCTTTCCATCTGAGCTGTAATGCTTACAAAATCAGTCTCCATGAGGAGAGAGAGAGAGAGAGAGAGAGAGAGAGAGAGAGAGAGAGTGTGAGAGACTGCAGGAAGTGGTCAGCTTTAGCACAGGGAAATCAGTCTTCTTGGATTGACTGCCTAGAAGCTCTTTTATTGACACACAAAAGGTCTTTTAGCAAGTCAGTCCCTGCATACCAAAATCTCTTATCCAAACTACAAGTTGTCTTAAGGAACCATGACTTAAGCAAACACAATCATAAGAATTCCAGGTTTGGCAGGGCGGTGGTGCTGTACAGCTTTAATTCCAACTCTTGGGAGGCAGAGGCAGGCAGATCTCTGTGAGTTCGAGGCCACCCTGGTCTAAGGCGCTAGTTCCAGGACAGGTTGTTTTAGAGAGAAATCCTATCTTGAAAAACAGAAAAACAGCAACAACAACAAAAAAAAAGGATCTAGATTTGCCAGAAATGTCTTATGACTGAGGTTATGCTAAGATTCAGAAATTCCCAAGGAAGAGCAACCCCATAAATTTCAGATAACAATCTCTGATTATTTATCAGAGATTATTTAAAGACCTATGTGGCCATCACTCCAGAGTAAATGCCAGGTGCAATGGCCCTTTTAATACCCTACTACAAATAATAATCAACAAAATATGCAATTAAAGTTACAGAAGACCACCGGGTGGTGGTGGTGCATGTCTTTAATCCCAGCACTCGGGATGCAGAGGTAGGAGAATTTCTGTGTGTTTAAGGTCTGGTCTGCAGAGCAGGTTCCAGGACAGGCTCCAAAGCTATACAGAGAAAACAGAGAAAGCCTGTCTCGAAAAAAAACAAAAACCACCACCAAAAAAGTTACAGAAGACCTCCAGTGAGGGAAAGAAGGTTTAGTTCCTAGATATTATTATCGCTACTTAAGACAAACATTAAAATCCATTTATTCGACTAGAATATTCATGTGTTTCTACGCATTTGTGTGGCAGCCAGTTCATTAACACATGCTTTATCACAACCCTTTAATGCTTTTTTTTCAAAACCACTTATCTTTTAACTTTACGTATTTTTATCATTAGTTATCAGATTATAATTTTTTCATTTTGCAATTTAGAGAAAATACACATTTGATATTTATAAACAGATGTCCTGTATTTTGCAGAGGGGTGGGGGCAGGGCGTTTGAGACAGGGTTTCTCTACATAACCTGGTTGTCCTGGAACTCACTATGTAAACCAGGCTGGCCTCAGACTCACAGCGATCCACTTATCTCTGCCTCCTGAGCACTGGGATTTAAGGAGTGTGCCACCATGGCCAGCTAAATGCCATGTATTTAACTAAAGAAACTATTCAATTTTTCCTCCAATAGATTCTAACTCAGAATTGTCAAATGAACAATTAAGGCAACGTCTTCATGAAACTTTAGAGGTATGTCCTGCAACTAAGTGGGCCTTGTACCCTCATCATTCCTCCAGACCTCCCCCTTCTTCCCTTCATCTCTTGGGCTCCTACTTTTCAACTGGCCCCCTTTGTTATTCTCTCCGTCTCTGTCTCTCTCTCTGACTGTCTCTATCTCCCTCCTTCCTTCCTTCCTTTTCTTTCTTTGTCTATGTTTGTATGGGCACCTGTGCCCCAGCACACGTGGGCATCAGAGAACAACTTGCTAGAGCTGGTTCTCTCCTTCCATCCTGTGGGTTCCAGGGATTGAACTCGGGTGGTCAGACTTGGTGGCAAACTCCTTAACTTGCTGAGTCATCTTGCTGGCCCTGGTTCTTGTCTCTTGAAAAGTCCTCTTGTGTAAGCACACCCGCCACTTCAAGCATGCCCGTCGTTTCTCTAACTGGCTTCTCTAAACCTATCTAAACTAAAACTAACATTGCTTCCTTGTAGATGCCATATCCCTGCCTTCCAAGTGCTGGGATTAAGGGCATGTGCTACTCTGCCCAGCTGAGAATATAGCTATTTGAGATCCTTTGTCAAACAGAACAACACCCAGATTTTTCTTTTCCATATGATGAGCCGCGTGTCTGCGTGGGTAAAGCAAGAGACAGGCTTTTGTTTCAACTGTGAAGGGGGCTCCTGCAGAGCGGGGGTGGGGGGCTCCCTCCCAGACCCCCTGGATCAGGCACAAACCACACCCGAGCACCTGTTTTCCCAGAGAGATCCTTTATTAAGCAGGGAAGAAAAGGTTAAGTGGTTGTTTTCTGACAGGCAGAAAAACATCAGAAAATGACCTCACAGGTGTAATTTTTAAGAGGAGAGGGGGGGTCTGTGTTAGAATAGGGTAGGATGCAGTGGTAAAGGAGATGGGGACAAGGGAAAAGGGGCAGGAGTGTTTGTCCCAGAGGACAAAAAACTGCTCCTGGATAGAGAGGAGACACATGTGGCCCATAGGAAAATGGCAGTGTATAAGGGTAAAGGGGGAAACCCTGTGTTAGAAGGAGGTATTTCATTTTAATTGGGCATGTTAATTAGGTGAGCCAAAGGCTTCTGGTTGCTGGACTTCAATGGTAGTCAGTGTTACGGGGATGAAGTGACCAAACAAGGGGATAGACTTTGGTGGCTAGCTTTAGGACTGAAATCTAATGGTTTTTAGCAAGGCAGAGGACTGGGGAGAAGGGCGAGCCCTGCCAGAGCCACATGCTGGAGTGGGCTGCTGTCCCTTCAAACTGGAGCTTGGTAGTGAGGCTCTTGGTCATAGTCTGACAGGCTCACTGCAGCATCTCTAGGAACTCACAGCCCTGTTTAAGGCTAAGTGTGGACTAGCCATGTTGACAGTTCAGGAATTCCATGCCTTGCAAACAGGAAGGCTTACTGTTTTTCTGTCCTCAGGAAGTAGAGATTTTAAAAACTGAACTTGAAGCCTCTCAAAGACAACTTGAAGGTAAAGAGGAAGCATTAAAAATCCTTCAAAGCATGGTAAGAATTTATTTCCGAAGTTTTCATCACTTAACACATTTCAGTAATGAGTGGAATTATAATCCCTGCACTCAGGAGGCAGTGGTAGGAGAATTGAGAGATCAAGACCAGGCCTGGTTACATCCTGAGAGCCTGTTTTGGAAACACATACACAACACACACACACACACACACACACACACACACCACCACCACCACCACTACCACCACCACCAGCAGCAACAACAATTAGTGATGTTTTTACCTTGTAAAATAAAAGAATCGGTGTTTAATATTGTTGGATCTTTTAGGTACAGTTATTTTTTTATTAATTTCTGAGTTGTATAGGTATAACTAGAACCTAATTTTAGAGTATTTGCAATATATTAAAAAAAATTAATCTTGTAGGGGCTGGAGAGATCGCTCAGAGGCTAAGGGCATTGGCTGTTCTCTCAGAGAATCTTGGTTTTATTCCCAGCACCCACATGGCAGCTCTCAACCATCTGTAATGAGATCTGGTGACCTCTTCTGGCACGCAGGTGTACATGCAGACACTGTATATGTAATAGATAAAATAAATCTCAAAAAAAAAAAAAAAACTTAAGGGGCTGGAGAGATGGCTCAGAGGTTAAGAGCATTGCCTGCTCTTCCAAAGGTCCTGAGTTCAATTCCCAGCAACCACATGGTGGCTCACAACCATCTGTAATGGGGTCTGGTGCCCTCTTCTGGTCTGCAGGCATACACACAGACAGAATATTGTATACATAATAAATAAATAAATAAATAAAACTTAAAAAGAATCACCCACACACTTTAACGGATTTGTCTTTTCACCTTTTCTCTTTCAAACAAACATAACCAAGCAATTTGTGTCTGTAATTGTTTGGTTAGCATGCTTTTGAGGTCCAATCATGTTAAAGCATATATCAATACTGAAATTACCTGACGCGAGTGAGAAGGGAACACAGAACATGCAACAAACCCGCTTAAGAGTTTATGAAGGGAATGTGTACGTGCCTGGTGAGGTCGGTGTGCAGGGAGAGAAGATGGAGACAGCGCTTCCAGCTTTTAAAAGCTGCCTAGCGCATGCACACGGGGGTGGGGGGTGGGGGGTGGGGGGGTTGACGTGACTACGTCATACGCAGATGACAGGCATCAACTAAGCAAGGGCTTAGCTGAGTCATACGTGGATGATGCAGCCACACCACATGTAGATCACGCGGGCCCTTTAATAGCCCCGGGGCCATTAGGCAATTCTGCCTGAGGGCTTGTCCGCACATGCGTGGCCCCAGAACCCGCATTGCCAGACTTATTGTGGCTGAAATCATAACAAATACTTTCATCTCCTTCTTGCTCCTCCTCCTTTTTAATTTATTGAGACAGGGTTTCTCTGTGTAGCCTTGGCTGTCCGGGAACTCTCTCTGTAGAGCAGGCTGGCCTCAAACTCGGAGATCCGCCTGCTTCTGCCTTCCAGTCCTGGGATTAAAGGTGTGCGCCACCACCGCCCAACAATACTTTCTTCTTAGTCAGGTAGCTCATAACTGCCTATAACTCCAGCTCCAGGAGATCCGACACCACCTTCCAAAAAGGCCTCTCGGGCACCAGCATGCACATGCACACATTTTATATGCAGACACACAGACATTAAAAATAAAGTATGTGTATTGAAAATAAATAAATCTTTAAAAATAAAATATGCATATAGGAATATGCTTATATATTATGCAAATAAGAGGGTTTAAACTTAATTTTATTGACGCTATTTTTATTTTTTCTTAGGCAGTGCTTGACAAGGCCACAAGTCACACACAGACAATGCTTCAAAAAACCATAGAACAAAAGAGATCTTTGGAGAAGGTATTTGCAAATGTAGCATTGATATGCTCAATCTGATAATATTTAGATATAATTTTCTTAGGCTCGGCGTGGTAACAGGTGTTTCATTAGTGCTTACTCTCCTGCAAGGAGTTCTGCAGTCTCTGACGGCTTTCCCTTTGGACACTGACTTTTTTTTTAATGATTTATTTTTATTTCAGGTACATTGGTTTACCTGTATGAGAGTATTGGCTCCCTTGCAACTGGAGTTATAGACAGTTGTGAGCGGCCATGTGGGTGCTGGGAATTGAACCAGGGTCTTCTGGAAGAGCAGCCAGTGCTCTTAACCACTGAGCCATCTCCAGCCCCTGGACACATAAATTTTAAAATATATTGTCACACGGGTAAAGTGCAGCCTTTTATGGCGGCAGGTCTGACAATTTAGCACTTTTTATCTTTTTCCTTCTTTGTCCTCTGTCCCATGCAGGGCCAGCATGTTTCTGAACACCTCACTGTTCATGGAATTAGGATAATCACGTAATTACGTAGGAAATTACGTAATTTTCTTACGTAAATCATATTCTTCCTTGATGGGGCCATTTGAGTTAAGACTCCAAGAAGTAAATTTAGTTTCTGTTGTCTGCATGGGCAGAAGTGGGTCCTGAGAAATCTGGGCTCACTACAACCAAATTTTGAACATAAATAATTTGAAATTTCTTTGCTGTGTTCGGTGAGCTTTATCAAAGTGTCTGAGTGCTTAAAAAAAAAAGTCCATTTGTTGTATTTTTTTTTTTTTTTTTTTTAATGGCAGGGTTTCTCTGTCTAACAGCCCTGGCTGTCCTGGAACTCACTCTATAGACCAGGCTGGCCTTGAATTTACAGAGATCTAGATGCCTCTGCCTCCCAAGTGCTGGGATTGGATTAAGGCCTGTACCACCACCGCCCAGCCTGATGTAGTTTTCCAATGCCATAGACTCTTCCAAGCACATGAATAAATGCCTTTCACCCATGCAGTGTCTGAGAAAAATTTATAGTGATAATTTTCCACGAAATGCTCTTTTGTTTGTTTTTTTATTTGAAGGTATTATTTCTCTTTCTATAGGAAATAAATGCCTTGCAGTGGGAAATGGAATTTGATCAGGATAGATTTAAAAACATAGAGGAATCGTGGATCCAAAAATATGACAGGTTTGTATATTGATGGCACTGAAAACTAAACCTAGGGCGTGTGCATGCTGTGTAGTTACGTCACAGCCAAGCCCATCCTCCTTGGGCACAGCCGAGCCCATCCTCAGCCTGGGTAGGTATAGTATCGTCCATAATTTTCCCAAGCAAAATTTTAAAATGCATGTCATTCAAATGCAATTTTAGGCTTTCTTCTTCTTTGAGCAAATTATAAATAAAATTTTTATTGCTTATTTACTTTCCATTTCCATATTTTTCTGTTGTTTTCCTAATACTATATATATATATATATATTAGAGCCAGGCATTGTGGCAGGGCGCATACCGAGGATGCTGCTCGGTGGTAGAGGGCCTTGTTAGCGTTTGTAAAGCAACAACAGCAAACAACAGCAAACAAAGCAGCCTGGGGAGATGGCTCAGTGGGTAAAGTGTTTGCCTCACAAGTGTGAGGACCTGAGTTCAGATCCCCTTGTGAAAAGGCAGGCATGGCGGTGCCTTTATCTGTAGTCCCAGCCCTCCCGGCCAGCGTGGATGAGAGACTTCAACAAGGTCCTGCAACCCCCTCCGTGTTGTAGAGTGTTTCACAATCTCTCTCCAACATCCAAGAAGATTCCACTATATGATGAATAGACCATATGGGTATGGATTTTTCTATAATCCCTCTGACAAGCATAAACAAAGATAAGATACAGTATAAATGGTATTTTTTTCTTTTTCTTACATTTTAAAAAATATTATAATAGGCAGAAAACCTAGAGACATAAGCTGGGCCATCATCTGTCTTTATCTGTGCAGGAATACCCATGATGGCCATAACTTCTAATAAATGTGTGATTACTGAATCAGCCTTTTCTGAGCTTAAAGCAGTTGCCCACTGAAAACCTGAATAAGTGTCAGTGGTGTGGTGTACATATTTTAATTTGCCAAATTTTGCAAAGTGGAACACATCCATCTGCCAGATTTCATTCCTTTGAGTGCCCTATGGGTTAGTCCCTGCAGGTAGTGGTGTTTGGTTATAGAAAGAGCAAGTAAGACATCTCTTTATAATCTCCTTCGCTTGTTTCCATGTAATAGAAAACTCTTTCCTTAAACCTTTGCTATTGACATGATGTTTTTTATGAAATTCTGAGGCCTGCAACATGCTTCCAATCAAAAATTTATCAATTTCTGCATTACCTTGTGCTAGAGGACCTAGCAGACTCATATGGGATTGGATATGTGTTATGTATATAGGACAAAGCCTATTCCTGATTATGTCTTGAACCTGGATAAATAATGAAGTCAATTCTGTATCATCTGGTATAAATTCAGGGGTTTACTCCTTCAGTCCTAGGTGGCCACTGGGGCTTGCTTCTGCCTTAAATAATCATGCTAGGAACATGGATGGTGTCCTCTCCCCCCACCCTCCAGTGAAGGACTTTGGGTTTGCCTCTTTTCTAGAATTAAAGCAACACTGAGCAGGAGGTACAGGGATTCCTCGTACCCCCCTTTCCATGCACAGCTTCCTGCCGTCAATCCCCTCATTAACTTTGTCCGGTAGTTATGATCCCCATACCTACTCAGTACTGACCAATATCCAAGGTTTGCTTGAGGACCTGTCTTAGATGGCCCAAGCACAGAGTCAATGTTCAAGTGGTTATTAAGATGAATTAAAATTATGTTAATGTGATGCCAGGTAATGGTGGCACATGCCTTTAATCCTAGCATTGAGGGAGGCAGAAGCAGGAGGATCTCTGTGTGTTCGAGGCTAGCCTGGTCTACAAGAGCTAGTTCCAGGATAGCCAGAGATACAAAGAGAAACCCTATCTCAATAATATATATATATATATATATATACATATACATATACATATTTTATTGAAGGTTGGTGAGATGGCTGAGTAGATAAAAACATTTGCCACCAATCCCAACGACCTGAGTTTGATCCCACGACCCACATAGTAGGAGAGAACCCACTCCCACAGGCTGTCCTTTTACCCCAATATGTGCACTTTTAAAATGTCCCACAAATAAATAAAATGTAATAAATCATAGAAATAAAGATATTTTCGTTCATTGAGGTGTTAATACTTTAGTTATTTAGTTAAGTTTTCCTTTGCAGACTAAGATGTGATAATGCTGTCCTAAGAGAGAATCTGAAGGTGAAAACAGAAGAAATTAAAGTGCTCAAGTCTGAAAATGCTGGTGAGTAATGGATTTTAATGATTCTTTTAAAACATGTTAGCCTGGGGTGGTGGCCACTTGCAGGGGACTGAGACAGGTGGATCTCTGAGTTCAAGGCCAGCCTGATCTACAGAGTGTACAGCCGGGGCTACACAGAAACCTTGCCTCTAAAAAAAATAATAATGAATATGTTTAAAGACAGCAAATATAGAATATACTGCAGCAAGAACACTCTTGTCAATATAGAGAAAGTGCTAGTATTTTAAGTAATATAATTTAGGGAAAATAAAAATGTATCATTTAGATTTTTTTAAAGATTTCTTAAATACTATCAAGGTGAAATCCATACAACATCAAATTAATTCTTTAATTGTTTAAAATAAACAATTGGGCAAGCCGTGGTGGTACTCACCCTTTAATCCCAGCACTCAGGAGGCAGGGGTAGGTAGATCTCTGTGAGTTTGAGGCCAGCCTGGTCTACACAGTTTAACAACAGCCATAGGCTACATGGGAGGTGTTGGTGGAGGGAGTGGGAGGTGAATGTATCAAAGTACATTGTGTCCATGTCTGAACTATAGTTCTTGAAAACTCTAAAGAAGCAAAAGCGATTAATTCAGTAGTGCTGGCAAACTGTGTGTGCGGTCAGGGCCCTCAATCATTCGGCAGTTTTCTGAAACATTCCAAAGTAAAGGCTGTGCTCAGTTCCTCTCCGCCATCCCTTCAGTCCAGTTTCCATATAACGGGCTAGGTGAGGTGGGGAGGCTGAGGCAGAAGGATTGCCATGAGGTAGACGACAGTCTGGGCTCCACCGCCTGGCCGTGTGTGTACTCTTAGGTGTGAAGTCTGTATATTGCACAGCCTGTATATAATGAGCCACCTTGCGGTCAACATTGGAAGAGCCCGGCTGGTACTGATTTTTTTGTAACAGATTTTTAAGGAAAGATGCTAATTCCTCCCCTCAGCAGACACTAAGTGACCATTTGAAGGGAACAGAACCTGAATCAGCGTGGCTCAGAGGCTCCTGGTGCTCAGGCAGCGCCCAGATGAGATCTGGACACACACGTCTGAGCATCCAGCTGTACATCTGGTAGTCTAGGGCAGAAGGTTCCAGAATCACAAGCTCCCCCCCCTTCCCCCTTGAAGGTTACTGTTTTCTGTTCTCCACTAAACAGGATCCCTTCCCTTTCTTTCTGACCACGGTGAGGGTCTCTCCTGTGAAACCTGTTTTGTTTCCTGAGATGGGGTCTTACTAGGCAGCCCTGGCTGTCCTGAAGCCCTCAGTGATCAGACTGGCCTGGAAATCACTGTCACATCCAGCCCTCTGTGAAAACTCCTTGCTGTTGTTGTTCTGTGTTCCACACAGGGTTTCTCTGTGTAGCCCTGACTGTCCTGGAACTCACTCTGTAGACCAGGCTGGCGTTGAACTCAGAGATCCACCTGCTTCTGCCTCCTGAGTGCTAGGATTAAAGGCATGCGCCACTACACCTGGTTGGAAAACTCTTTTTTAAAGATTTATTTATTTATTATGTATACAACATTCCTTCCATGTATCACATGCCAGAAGAGGGCACCAGATCTCATTATAGATGGCTGTGAGCCACCATGTGGTTGCTGGGAATTGAACTCAGGACCTCTGAAAGAGCAGTCAGTGCTCTTAACCTCTGAGCCATCTCAACAGCCTGGAAAACTCTTAATAGAAAAAAATCTGATGGAATTTGGGAAACTGGCACACTTGACATAGAGTGCATGAGATCTCAGTCCGCAGTCTTCTCCTTGTCTAAAGCAGACAGAATAAGGCGGAAAAGGCCAGTTATCCCATAGCGATTTATCGATTTAGTTACAGTACTGCTTTTACTGCGTATTCGACAAACATAACTTTCCTTGCAGCTGAAACCAAACCATTGGTGGTTGCCTTACCAACCTGCTGCCCGTAGTCTTCTGTAAAATCTTATTTTCCTGCCTGTCCCACTTGGTTTTGGAGTATCAAATGAGAATACAAATGAGACCTGGCATGGAAACGTTTTGGGGGGTATCCTGGCTTCTGTCCACCGATGACTTCCTATCTCTTCCAGTCCCATTGGTATCGAAGTACTTATTCCAGAAATATTCCTGCAACATTCTCAAAGTTGCTGGATAATTTACCTTACATGTTCATTTAAAAAAAAATGAAAAAGAAAAAGAAAAGGTGCTGGAGAGATGGCTCGGAGGTTAAGAGCTCTTCTTAAGTGATCGCTCTTCTGGAGGTCCTGAGTTCAGTTCCCAGCAACCACATGGTGGCTCACAGCCGTCTGTAATGAGATCTGGGGCCTTCTTCTGGTGTGCAGGCAGAACACTGTATACATAATAAATAAATAAATAAATAAATAAATCTTTTTTATTTATTATGTATACAACATTCTGCCTCCATGTATGCCTGCAGGCCAGAAGAGGGCGCCAGATCTCATTACAGATGGTTGTGAGCCACCATGTGGTTGCTGGGAATTGAACTCAGGACCTCTGGAAGAGCAGCCAGTGCTCTAACCTCTGAGCTATCTCTCCAGCATCCCTAAATAAATAAATCTTTAAAAAAAAAAGTAAAAAGTCCACTTGGTGGCACACACTTTGATTCTTTTTTTTTCTCCCCCTAACCCCAGATGTGCCTGCCTCTGCCTCCTGAGTGCTGGAATTAAAGGCATAGGCTACTACTGCCTGGCCAGCACACACCTTTAATCCCACCTAGCATTTCAGGCAGAGGTAGGTGGATCTCTGAATTCGAAGCCAGCCTGGTCAACAGAGTGAGTTTCAGGACAGCCAGGGCTGTTAAACAGAGAAACTCTGTTTCGAAAAGCCAAACAACAACAGCAAAAAGGAACTACTCAGAGCTACTCCGTATCTCTTTTCTCCCATGCTACTTCCTGTTTCATCAGATAGGTTTTCTGGATGGAGCCCAGTCTTGGGTGAAGGCTGATAGGTGTCACTTAGAAGAAGTGAATGTATGGCTTCTGTGTAACTCCATAGAGAGGCTGTAGTTGACCTCGGAGAACTCACAGTATCGTGTGTGGCCCTTCCTAGTTTTGAACCAGCGGTATTTGGAGGTCCTTGCCATGCTTGACATCAAACAGCAGAAGGTGGCTCAGGAGAACATGGCTCAGGAGGACAGTGCCTTTACAGAGGTATCCGGACTCGAGGTACGTGTCCACCGGGGAAAGCCGGATAGCAGGGACAGCTGCTTTCCTATTCCCTGCAGCCTGCTCGGGACAGCAACATACTTAGCGCCTCAGACTCCGGTGCGAGAGGCCCGTGACTGCCCAGGTTGCTTCTTGCCAGCTGCAGCTACAGCTGAGCCACGCCTCCCTGCTGGGTGGGACTGGCTCTTTCCCGGGGGCCCGCAAAGGGGTGTCATGGAACTAAGGCCGGGTGAGTTCGGGTATTTTTCTCACGGTGACAAGGCAAGAACAAGCACTGTACTGCCCTTCGCCGGTGTCGGGTCTTCTAAGGCTGACGCACTTAACCCTCACACTCTGACCCAAGCTCCACATCACACACGATGTGTGACCCTGCTTCTTCACTTCAGCTTTAGTCAAGTTTTGAGCCAGGGCTACAAGTGACTTCATTACAGTCATTGATCAAGAATTATATTTAGCTAGGCAGTGGTGGTGCACACCTTTAATCTCAGTACTTGAGAGGCAGAAGCAGGCAGATCTTTGTGAGTTCGAGGCCAGCCTGGTCTACAAGAGCTAGTTCCAGGACAGGAGCCAAAGCTACAGAGAAACCTTGTCTCAAAAAAAAAAAAAAAAAAAAAAAAAAATGGTTGAATGATTTTGTGTATGGGAGTGCTCTATCTGCATGTACAACCTTCTGCCAGAAGAGGGCATCAGATCCCACTAGAGATGACTGTGAGGAAGCCCTTGGTGGCTGGGAAGTGAACTCGGCTCTGGAAAAGCAGCCAGTGCTCTTACCCACTGAGCCACCTGTCCAGCCCCGCAGAGTATTTTTTTTAAAGAGGGGAACGATGATTGCTTTCCCCAGGGGTAAAATAAAATTCATTGTTCATTCTGAGCAGTCTTGTTGGAGGAGAGGGACACAGGGAATGCAGGCTACGAGGCCACGCCTACCACAGGAAGCACTCACTTCCGGTGTTAAAGACTTGGTTAGGCTAAATTCTTGCTGCACTTTCAAAGCTATTGGAGATGAATGCCAGGATTAAAGGTTTTGAGATTGAGAAGGAAGGAATGTAAAGTCTTTGAAGTGTTTGTTGCAAGAAATGATGTCTCATTTGTGGCCATTTCCACTCAGATCGTGAATTCCTCACCTGTTTTCTTTAAAATATATATTATATACATCGTATATATTATACACTCACACGCGCACACACACTTATACACTGTCCACTTTATTGAATCCGAGGCTTGACTAGCACTGCATGGCTGTGGGGTGGTGTGTGTATGTGGCTCAGACAGTGTGACACTTGGTAACAGGCAATGTCTTTGGGTTTCAAGCTTGCAGTCCTCGGCGCCTGCCTGTGTCGCGGTCCTGGAGGGAACCCATGTTCTTGTGCCAGAATGGCAGCATCCACTCGGAAACTGGTTCTTCAGCTCAGACGTGAGGTATTTGTCAGATGCCTTGGTTCTTCAGCTCAGACATGAGGTATTTGTCAGATGCCTTGGTTCTTCAGCTCAGACGTGAGGTATTTATCAGATGCCTTGGTTCAGGCCCTTTATTAGCAGGAGGATAAATGGCGGGATTTGCAATAATGAGTTTTATCTTAGGAGTCACTGGCTGTGGAACCTACGCTTGGTTTTGTGATGGAATTAACTTGTGCATTAGATTTCGTTTATCTGGTTCCAAAACATAGTGCATTGCATGAAATCTGAAGCCAGGTAAAGTCGTTTGACTATATGTCAAACTATACGACTATATTAGTCATATGACTAATATTTCTTAAATCATATTTTCTCATTTCAACATGGCCTTCAAATCAGTTAACAAAGGGAAAAGATGTGTTTACACTTAAAATAAGTAGAGTTGACCCTGGGTGGCGGGGAGATGACATGGGAGGATGCCCTTAGCACCATCGTTTGCTGCCCGTGTGGCTGTGGGCAGACAGTAAGCCTCAGTCCTCTCACAGGTTAACAGGATGACAGCTGTCTTGGAGGAAACACAGTGTCTATCATCAACAGGCCAGGCATTTAACCAGCTGGTAGTTGTCCCCTTATAATTGGACCTTAATTATGAATGTTTATGTATACAAACCAAATTTATGATTTGGCAAAATTCTAAACTGTTTTACTGTTTGTTTTCTTTTGAGACAGGGTTTCTCTGCGTACCCCTGACTGTCCTGGAACTAACTCTATAGACTAGGCCAGCCTTGAACTCAGAGATCTGCCTCTCCAGTGTTGGCATTAAAGGCATGTGCCACTATGCCCAGCCACTGTTTTACCTTTTTGGAAGACAGTGAATTTAAAGTCTTTAGATCACTTAGGAAGGCTAACAGCCGAACCTTAGCTACTCCTGAAGAACAGCATAGAATCACATGGATCAGACTCAAGCTCAGCTAGGGAGGTACACAGCCTTAGGCTCTTTCCTCCTATTCGGCTGTGCCCTTCCTCCAGGATTTGGGCAGGACAGGCACAGGGCCCAGCAGGGGTAGTGCGTTTCAAGAGCTGGACTGGCAGGGGGTTGGCACAGGGTGAACTGCTGGCATCCAGAGTGCTGGTAGAATGGGCAAGAGCTGACTTACGCAGACAAACTAGAGGGAACAGAGGCTAGGAATACAGCAATTCCTATGAAAAATGGTTCTAGTTTCACCTCTCATGGCTCCCCAACTCTCTTTCAGTTGGAAATTCTGCAGAAAAGTAAGGAAGAGGCTCATATAATGGCAGATGCATTCAGAATTGCTTTTGAGCAACAATTAACGAGGAAAAACGACCAGGCGCTGAGACTGGCACACGTGGACAAGTGTAGACGAGCGGCCGCGTGGACCAACAGGCAGCACCTGAAAGACGAGGGTAACTACGGAGAAGGGGGTGTTAGCTGCTTTGGGATATGATCCAAGTCGGCACAGGAAAGAGGTGTAACTGGAGCTTTTCATGTAGTTGCAATTTGTTTTAAATTTAGCAAGTGTCGGGGCTAAACCGGTGGCTCAGCACCTAAAAGGACTTGCTACCAAGTCTAACAACTTGAGTTTCATCCCTGATCCCAGAAATGGAGGGTACCGGGTGTTGTGTATTTCAAGGGTCGGTTGAAGACAGAGGGTCACTCTAGGATGACTCTCGGCTCTCTGGAAGCAGGGAGGAGCCGTTTCTATGAACTGAACGCTGAGCAGTGTGCAAAGAGTACTTATTATTACACTAAAGGTGCTTTTCTGGGTAAAACAGATCCTTCATACCAAAGCCCCTGATCTAATCTTTATGCTCTCTGAAGGAGAGCATCACACCCCAGCAACCTTAGTTCTTATTGTGTAGTGTGTGCAGCACCCAGTAATTCAAGATACCCAGGTGTGCCAGCACTGTCTTGTGACCAAAGTCGTGCAAAAGCTGGACAGATTCTTCAGAAAAACAGCTCCGTAGATAACGGCAAACAATCAGTTTTCCACAATGATTTCTTCAAGGTCTAAGTACTTCTAGAAAGCGACCGTTCATGCCGATGTTTGCAGTGAAAACAAGTATTTCATTCTAATGTTTATCCCAGACACTTCAGGAGAAAGCTGACTCCATAAAGTTGTCCTCTGACCTCCATAAGCAGGCCCTACCTGACACACATGCCCCCACACACATCATGTACACACACGAACACACAATGAGGATTTTGTTTTAAATTGGCAACTGTGAAGCACCAAGCATGGTGGCACATAACTGAGCTGCTACAATCAGGAGGCGGAGGCAGAAATTCTAAAAGGAAGACAATGGCAATTACATATGCAAATGAGCTTCGAAGTTAATAAAACCATAAAGAGATAAAGTAAGCTCTTTTCAACACTTAGATTTGTGTGTGTCCATGCGCATGCCGGCACCTACTGTGTCAGAATTTTCTTTGGGCCCCAAACCAGCTTCCAAATAAAGACATGAAGACTTAATTTTGAATGCTTGGCCTTAGCTTAGGCTTGTCCCACTAGCTCTTTTAACTTTATTTAACCAGTTTCTATTCATCTGTTTTATCTATGGGCTTTTTACCTTTCTTTCATGCTGTATATCCTTCTTCCCTGCTTCCTATGTGGCTGGCTGGCTGGCCCCTGGCATCTCTTTTCTTTCTTCCTGTCTCTGTCAAGCCTAGATTCCTCCTCTTACTTACTCTCTCTGCCCTGCAGTCCTGCCTAGCTATTATTAGCTCTTTATTAGACCAATCAGGTGCTTTAGGCAGGCAAGGTGAAACATATGCAACACATCTTTGCATAGTTAAATAAATATTCCTCAACAGCCTGGGAAGACCAAAAGAGGGTGCTGGACTCCCTAGAGCTGGAGTTACAGGGGGTTGTAATGAGGACTGAACTCAGGTCCTCTATAAGAGCAGTAACTCACACTGACCCATCTCGGGTGCTCTATCTAGTAGTCTTCTACCTCACTAAGACAGAGCTGTGGTTTGTGGGTAGTGCTCTGATGAGCTGGGAATGGTAGTGCATGTTTGAAATCCAAGCACTCAGAAGCTGAGGCAGACAACTGGAGGTACTAATTCAAGACTCAGATGCCAAGAGGAAAATAACGCTGAAAATAGCATTTAGCTAGGCATGGTGGTGCACACCTTTAATCCCAGCACCAGGGAGGCAGAGGCAGGTGGATTTTTGAATTCCAGGCCGGCGTGGTCTGTGTAGGAGTTGTAGGCTCGTCAGGAATACTTAGTGAGACCTTGTCTCAAAAACAGAAAAGAAAATGTTAGCTGGGTGTAGTGCACATGTCAGGAACCCCAGCATTTAGGAGGAGAGGAAGGAGGATCAGAAACTCAATCCAGCCTAGGCTTGAGTTTAAGCCCCGGGACCCACACAGTGGAAGGAGAACTGGCTCCCCAAAGCTGTCCTCTCACCTCCATATGCTTGTCATGGAGTGTTTCCATATAGCGTGGTTAGTGATCTCACACATAGACCTGGATTTCTGCTGCTCCAGAAGACTGTGATGACGTAGGGCCTGAGTTTCCAACAGCGTGCCTCCCTCTCCAGGTCCCCACTCACCCACACCTGAAATCCACATGCCCCCATCATGCTGTGCAACCTGCAACACTGGTCCTTGTGGTTTTGTGAGACTGACTTCTGGATTGCTGCAGGAATTAATTAGCCTCGGCTCACAGGTATTTCTTTTACTGCAGTTAACATCAGTGAGAGTAGTTTTCTCAGCTGGATTCTCCCACTCAGTTCCAGGATATGCATCCCAAAGGAGAAAGAAGACCATAGGGCAGCGACTGCTGGGGATGCTCCCTTCAGAAAACAGTTCGAAGAGGACTGAAGAACAAGACAGCCCACAAGAAGTCCTTAAGATGCTAATAGACTTGGTTAGTACCAGACCTTCACTTCGTTTTTGTTAGGGACTGCGGGTCAGCTAATCCATGGGCTCCCGTTCTAGGCCTCTTAAACCCTTTTCTCCACTGGGCACCACGCCCCAACATCTCCCTGCCAGCTCTCCCCACTCCTGTGAGGATCCTTCCTGTGCAGGTTTAAAGACCCACACAGCTGAGGGTGTGTGTGTGTTAGTGACTGGTTCCAACCAGCTCAGCTCCCCGCATTTATGTGCAGCCTGGAGTTAGGAGCAGTTAAGAGTTCCAGACCCTTTGTCACCAACACAACCTGATGTCAATCCTGGCACCTTCCACAGACGGCTGCGAAACAAAGACGCCGACACAAGTGCTCAGAGCAGACACACGTTAACTCTGCTGACATTTATTTGTATATAAATACATAAAAAACAATTCAGATACAACTTTAAATATTTTTTCACAGGTCAGTACATGTTGAGATTACACACAAATATACAATCTTCCCCATCTCTAGGTAACTTACAGGGTTACAGAGAAGTAGCACTAATTCCTTGGGTTGTTTTAAAGAAAGTTGTATGTATTATCAATATTATCAACGATTATACATTATCGTTGTATGTATGTATGTGTGAGCACGGCATGCCATGGCACATGTGTAGATCAGCTCTCTTCTTCCACCTTTATGTGAGTTCCAAGGATTGTGAGTACCCTACTTAATGAGCCCCTCACTGCTGCCCTTCCAGTCCCTGTCACCAAAAACAAACAAACAAAACCGAAAAAAAAAAAACCAAAACAACAACAACAACAAAAAAAAAAAACTCAAAAAACCTGGGGCTGGAAAGATGGCTCAGTTTGCCTCCTCAGTTAAGAACATTTACTTCCATTCCCAGCACTCAAATTAAGTGGTTCTCAACCACCTATAAATCCAGTTTTGGAAGACCTGACACCCTCTCTGGCCTTCTTAGGTACCTGCACACACATGGCACACATACACACATATGCTTAATGACACCCTCTCTGGCCTTCATAGGCACCTGCACACACGTGGCACACATACACACATATGCATAAATGAAAGCTTAAAATAAAAAGCACAATTTCACCCATCAAGATTGGAGCCCGCTGCCAGGCCCTGAATTTGATTCCAGGACACACGTACAGACTCCTCAAGTTCTTCTCCAACACCCACACATACATCATGGCACAGATATAAACATGCACACCAAATAAATTTAAAAATTTCACTTAAATCCCAGAGCATTTGATTCAAGATTATCCTAAAATATGACCAATCTAAATTTAGAATGCAGTCTTCTGATAAAATGAAATGCTTCTTTTCCTGACACACTAACTGGTACATCCCTAACTTCTGCTCACAGTTGAATGACAAAGAAGAAGCACTGGCTCATCAAAGAAAGGTCAGTTACATGCTTGCTCGGGCGCTGGAAGACAAAGACATTGCCGCCAAGAAGAATAAGGACAAAATTCTCACGAGCCAGAAGTGCCCATTCATAACCCCCTGGCAGGAAGCTTCAGGACGCTGTGTTTTGCGTGATCCAGCACACTCAAATGTCCATGTTTCCGATCCTGTGGGTTGTATTTGTTCAGTCCACCATCCCCAGAGAGATTCAGACTGCTCAAGAACTCTTAAAAGATCCCATTCTTTGCCATCAAATATATTTAAAAAATAAACCAGATGGAATCAGAATTAGAGCTGTTAAAAATCAGGTTCTGATTTACAAAGTAGTAAGTACTACTAATAATACGTGTATTAACAATGTATGTGTTTAACCACATCCCTCCCTTTTAATTTTAGGATGCAGATTAAGTACTCAAACCTTTAACACATGTTCTATAAGAAATGTATTAATACTGTACTTTATATGTACTACGTTGACATTTTGTTTATAAAGTGCTTTTTCATATTTTGACAGTTTCAATGTTTATCTAACTTATAAACAAGTATTCTTGGGAAAAATTCACTTATTTGTGGAGCTGGGGAGATAGGTCAGTTGGTGCAGTGTTCCCTTGCTAGTGTGAGGCTGAGTCTGATCCTCAGCAGCCACAGGAAAAGCCAGGTGCAGTGGAGCACACCTGACCGCTGGAGATGCAGAGGCAGGTGGATGCCTGAGGCTTCCAGGCCAGCCAGCCCAGCCTAATAAGGAGAGCCCCAGAATCCAGCAAGAGACCCGCCTCAAAAAAAGAAGGTGGACAAAAAACAAAACGAAGGTGGTAAGCACACGCATACACACGCACACACACACACTACCGACTGATTAAGTAATTTTTCTGTTGGGTGTGGTGGTACATTTCTGTAAACCCAATACTCAAGAGACTTCAGGCTTGCAAGTCTTAGGAAAGCCTGGATGCTACATAACAATAAAAATTGTCTCAAAAACCAAAACTAGAGCTGGTGGCATGGCTCAGTGGGTAAACATGACTTGAGTTAGGAGAGACCCAACTCCCAGGAGCTGTCTGCCCTCTGACTGCCACACTTCCCTGCGGCCTATACTTGTCCCTACATAAATGAAACTGGGCTTCGTGATGCACACCTTTAATCCCAGCACTCAGGAGGCAGAGGCAGGCTGCTCTGGGTTTGAGATTAGCCTGGTCTATGTAGTGAGATCCTGTCTCAAAAAACAAACAAACAAACAAAAAAACCTAATAAAATAAAAATATTAAAAAAAAAAACCTTTACCAACATAATAGTACTAGTACTTAGTTAGGATAACTATATGGGTCTTAGGTCAGATAAATATCAATATGATAAACAATGCTTAGGACCAGCTGTTAAAGAACCCTTATCTGCCATTTTCAAAGATTTTTATTTACCATTCCAAATTTTGAAATGATTTTCTTGTTCTCTTCAGTAAAGTTATGGTGGGGTTTTAGCAATATTTTCATACTAATTGCTAGTTCCTTTCAGTGCAGTTTTTTGGTCAGTAGAAACATTCTGTAGCCAAAGCTGACATTTAACTCAGTAGCTCTCTCATTCTGTCCTGGAAGTGACGTGAGGGCCCAGAAAAGGTCTCAGCTGCAGTTGCCTGAGCCATGATAAAGGCCACGTTTATGCTTCTGTCTGCCATGTTTTGTTTTTTTGTTTGTTTATTTGTTTTGTTTCTGAGACAGGGTTTCTCTGTGTAGCCAGCCCTGTGTGTCCTAGAACTCACTATGTAGAGCAAGCTGTCCTGGAAGTCAGAGATCTGCCTGCCTCTGCCTCCTGTGTGCCTGGATAAAAGGCGTGCGCCATCAGTGCCCAGATGCCTGCCATGTGATTTTAATAAAAGACTTGGACATCAATTAACTTATTGAAATCACTGGAAAATGGTACGAACACTTCAACTCTCTAGTTATTAAGCTATATACTATATATCCACATTGTGGTCAACAGGCCGCATATACAACAGTGGTTCCATAGATGACACAGCCCAGTGATGCTGGACTGCACGTACACAACCTGGAAAATGGCAAAACCCCCTAACTGCTTTTCTCAGCATATGTCCCTGCCGAGCGAAATGTAACAGACTTCTTCATTATGAAACACTGAATATTAAAGAGAATACTTTAGCCACCCCATCCCCAGTGGACAGCTATCTCATGATACAGTTTAAGAGTGACTATGACATTTCTGGTCCATTTAGATTGTGGATGCCATAAGTCACAGGTAGTCGTGTTAGACAGATAAAGGCACAGTAAAGAGTTATCACACGGAGTTGAACAAGCAGTGTACTATCATGGATAGGGAACTACTGAGGGATGAAAAAAACTGGGGTGACTTAATGCCTATGACCCCAGCACTTGGGAGACTGAGGAAGGATTGTCAAGAACAACCTGGGCTACACTGTGTGTCTCTGTCTCAAAACAAACAAAAGAAAACCTCCACTCAGAAGGACCAGTAAGGCACATCCATGCAATCTGTGGGGCTATGGGGACTAGTGAAGCACACCCATAGCCTTCAAGGAGCAGCTCCTCAAGTGGGAAGTGACACATTTATTCAGGGAGACACTCGTACTAACACATCAAACACAAGTGTACAACACACAGAAAAGTCACACAATTTCTCTGATAGGAGGTATGTAACAGGGTGAATGACATGAAACAGGAACACTGTATAACCTCTACATTTCTCTGCTGGAAAAAAAATCTAAAAATGAAGGAAAAATAATTATAAACAAAAAGGTATATGTGTTTTTATAGTTTTTGGTTTTGTTTTTCAAAAAGGTTAAAAATCTGTGAAGCTTGTATCTGATCCAGCTAGGATCTTCCCCTGCACACAGGCAGGAAGTCCTTGCAGGTGTGTTAAGGCTAGCACGGGTATCTTAAATGGTTATCAAGGCTCTAAGCAATACAGAAGCCCATTAGTAGCCTGGCGTGGTAGCGCATGCCTGTAATCCCACTTGGGAGGCAGAATTTGAGGCCACTTTGGGCTATATATTGTAGAGACCCAGTTTCAAACCAAAAGGCATTTTTTAAAAAAATATTTATTTATTTATTATGTATATAATATTCTGTGTGTATGCTGCAGGCCAGAAGAGGGCTCCAGACCCCATTACAGATGGTTGTGAGCCACCATGTGGTTGCTGGGAATTGAACTCAGGACCTTTGGAAGAGCAGGCAATGCTCTTAATCTCTGAGCCATCTCTCCAGCCCCACAAAAGACATTAAAACCTAAGTCTGCAATGGGATGGCTCAGCTGGTGAAGGCGCTTGCTGTCAAGCATGACGACCTGAGTTTGGTCCTTCTGACCTACATAGTAAGAGAACCAACGCCTACAAGCTGTCCTCTGACCACCACACATGTTCTGTAGTTTAACAAAAAAATTAAAAAATAGTGGCTTAGTATAACGATACAAAGGACCACGTATTTGCATAAACCCAACAGAGAAGAAGCTGGGAATGGTGGCATGCACCTGTAATCCCAGCTCCTAGGAAACAGGCAGGAGGATCATGAGTTCTAGGGCAGCCTGGGCAACACAGGCCAAGCATACCTGAAAGTATATAATACAAAACCTGGTAAGACACATCTGAAGGTTCCTTTGGCACTGTTAATCTCAGTGTAGCTGTGTGCTACACTGCCATCAGCTGCCCACACTTCACTAAGGACAGATTTACATTTTTGTTGTAGCTGTCAACCAACTCAGTGGTTTGGAAGCTAGACTACACTGACCTTAGTTCCCGCTATTTTCATGGCTTGGCAACTTGGTGTCTGAAAGGCTATAAAAGGGATAGATGATATAATCAATACGAGCAAGACGTGCTGTGAAATCCAACCATAGGAAGAAAAGTGCTAAAGGGATATTTTTAAAAATCATTTTTTTCTTCCAAACTCTTCGAAAGTATATAATTCTGTCTGGTGTGGATGCAACAAATCATTAACTACACAGAAACAGGACAATGTCAACATGAACAGAAAATGCATACATTTTATGACCTCACAAATATAAGTATGCACATTAGATAAATTGCCTATGTGGTCCTGACTGAGGAGATTTAAAAATAAAATTAAAGTCCTACGTGAATTTACCTTTACACGGGAAACAAGTCAAGAACTCCTCTTTTTTTTTTTCTTTTAAAGATTTATTTTGGGCCAGTCATGGTGGTGTACACCTTTAATCCCAAAACTCTGAAGACAAAAGTAGGCAGGTCTCTAATACCAAGTTAAGGGCCAGGTAGGCCCTGATTACATAGTGAAACCTGTCCTCAAAAATAAAAAGGTTTATTTTTATGTGTCCAGGCATGCAAGTGCAGATCCCTGAGGAGGTCAGAAGAGGGCAGCAGAATCCCTGGAGTTAAAAGTAGTTGAGAAATGCCCTGTGTCAGGGTTGAGAACTGGACTCCAGCAAGCTCACCTATCCTGAGCCCAGCCTCCCAACCCTTCTTTTATTTTTTTAAACAGAGTTTCTCTCCAGTAGCTGCTGTGCAGCACTATCCTCTACACCAGTCTGCCAACATCTTCACAAGTCTAGCTGGGCTTGACTGTACACCTTCCCTCTTGGAAGGCGGAGGGGGGGGGGGTTGGGGAGGGTCATGTGACCTTCAAGTGATATGCAGCTACCAGTCCCTATCAGTCATAGGCAAGTCTGCCCTAATTGCATATAACATAGAACTTGGGGCCTATAGGAGGGTCTCCATCTATGCAGCCACAGGGAGGCACAGCTGGCTTTCTGCTGTGGCTCCAGCTTAGAACCCCTCACCCACTGCTCTGTGAGGAAGCCTACTAAGCTCAATGGCTCCCCGAGGGAGCTCTATGGAACCTTACCCTCTGCTGTCTGTGGACTGTAAGAGGGGGTAGGCGTTTCTATCTCAACAGAAGGAATTATAGCAACAGAAAAATCAACTATGTAACGCCAGTTCCAAGAGATTCTATCCCTCTTCTGACCTCTGCAGTGTCAGCACATACGTGATGCAGATAACACAAACAAGCAAAGAACCCATCCACATAAGATTTAAAAATAAGTAAATAAAAGCAAGAAACAAAACTACCCTGCGAAAAGATGCATCTTTTTTTTTTTTTAAGACTTATTTATCTATTATGTACACAGTGTTCAGCCTCCATGTATGCCTGCAGGCCAGAAGAGGGCACCAGATCTCATTACAGATGGTTGTGAGCCACCATGTGGTTGCTGGGAATTGAACTCAGGACCTCCGGAAGAGCAGTCAGTGCTCTTAACCTCTGAGCCATCTCTCCAGCCCCAAGATGCATCTTCAGCATCAAGGATGAAAAAGCTCACAAATTTGTATAACCAGCCCTGTTAATCCTTATTTTCCTGCCCAATTCCCTTTCAAGCTAAGTACTCTGGACCAAGCCATTCTGCCTTAGCACTCTTTCGTTACTATTCTTTTCTGATATAAGTAGCTCACTCTGTCACCTCTGAGACAGGGTCTCATGATGATCTGTGGCTGACTACTATTTTCTGGCCTCAACAGGC